ACCATTTAAGTGAGGGAATACTATAGTAGTTTTTAAAAGTTTTATTTATTTGCTAAGAATTATTCACGTTTTGGGGGAGAAACAAGTCAGCCAGCAATGCCACATAGTAATCTGAGTAGCAAAGGCAACAGCCACGAAAAAAATGTATTTATTGCTGTTGTACTGGCACTATACACAAGGATCTAAGTGCTTCATTGTGCCTTCTAACACAGCTATATCTGAACACTGACATTTAAGACATCATTATAAATTACTTTCCTTTTCTTTCACTTTCAGGTAAGCATGTTCATCTACTAAACTGTATATAAATGAAGATTATTTCATTCATTCACTTGAAAAATATTTGAGTTTTATGCTGTAATCACTATTGCAGGCCCTTTGGACACATCAGAGAAAAAAAAAATGTAAGTGCTTGACTGACAGAAAATGTGGTTCTTAAAGTGAACAGTGAAGCAGACTAAGGCAAGTAAGGTAGGGAACAAAGGCTAGAAGGGTAAAGTGCAGAATGTAAAACTAAACAAGGTGGCCAGCAGATGCCACTGAGAGGATTAAGAGCTGGGTAAGGAGCCAGGCACGATGGCACAGGCCTTTAATTCCAGCACTCAGGAAGAAGAAGCTGAAGCAGGAGGATCTTTGTTAGTTCAAGGCCAGTCAGAAATACATAGCTGAACCCTATTTAAAAAAAAAAAAAATCTAAACAAAGACTTGAGGTATGTAAGTGAAATAGTTAAATACAAAAAGATGGAAAGGCATAATCTGGACACATGCATGGCAGTACTCACTAACAGTCTGTCCACAGCAGAATGAGTGAAGGGAAAGGAAAAGAAGAAGAAGGGTTGCCAATCATAGGTCCATAGGTCATTTGATGTAAACACCCAGCTTTTACCAAAATAGGACAATATTGTAGACTTGGGCCAGAAGACACAATCTTTGGACTAAAATACAGTCTGGAGCCTACCATAGTTGTTCTCTGAAAGGCTCCACCCAGTAAAGAATCAAAGCAGGTGCTGAGACTCACAGCAGAGCACAAAGAGTCTTATGGAAGAGTTGGGGGATAGAAGGACCCAGAGGGAACAGGAGCTCCACAAGAAGACCAACTGAGCCAACAAATCTGGACCCAGGGGAGCCTGCAGAGACTGATGCACCAACCAAGAACCATGCATGCAGAGGACCTAGACGCCCTGCTCAGATGTGGCCAATAGGCAGCTCAGTCTCCCTGTGGGTTTCCTAGTAACGGGAGCAGAGGCTGTTGCTAACACAGACTCTGGTGCATGCTCCCTGATCACTTTCCCCTGGTGGGGAGGCTTTTCTGGCCCACAGAGGAAGAGGATGCAGGCAGTCCTGAAAACACTTGATATTCTGTGGACAGTTGGTATGGGAGGAGGGCTCCCCCTTTCTGAGCACTAGAGAAGGGGAATGGGGGAAAGAGGGAGGGTGAGACCAGGAGGAGAGGGCTACGCTCAATCGGAATATAAAGTGAATAAATTAAAAAATAATAATAATAATAATCTGTTTGGACTTTATTTTCAGTTATTTGAGATTGAAAAGGACAATAGCAGCTTAGAAAGTGCAATCCACCATCAAAGACTTAGAAAAGCCTGTAAAAACAGACATTTGTCCAGAGAAAATCAGGCATTTTCATTGTTGCCATGTTGAGTTTGGAAACTGTTTATAAGATGTTCCAGTGAAAGTATTAAGCTAGTACCTGGTAAATTAGAGTCTAAAGGAATAGTTCTGGATCAAGATATATTTACTGGTTTGGGTGTAAAAAACAGTTTTGTAAAATTAAATACAAATCACAACCACATAAAATTAAATACAAATTTGTTACACACATGCACGCCCATGCTGCTTGCTTTGAAAATTCTTTGGTAGTCAAGTACCTTAAGAGCTTGATGCTGAAGCAGGGTGCTCTGGCACATATCTATAATCCAACCAGCCTAAAGCCAGGAGGATTGCAAGTCTCAGGTCAGCCTGGCCTATAAAATTACTTTCTATGAAGTTAAGCAAGGGAACACAATTTTAATGAAAAAGAAATCCTCACCTGCATACCACTAAAAAAGAGTTCCTATTTCACATACACAGCCATTCCTCCTTATAGATACTTGTGGGGCAAGGAAACATACTAGGGCCTGTGCATGCTAAGCATGTTGCTCTACTACTGAGCTACCAAGCACCAAATCCTAGATATTCATCCCTAAACAAATAAAAGAAATAAAGAAGTAAAACAGGTGAACTGGGAACCACATGAGTAATAATATTTTGAGTGTCAAAACTCTCTGAAAAATCAAATTTTAAAATCACATTAAAAGTGATTAACGCTACTAGGGATTTTGAAATGATAGCAACATCCATCCTGATTAAGAACACACAGCTAGCTATGAGTGGGAGTAGTTTTACATCACTACCTAGGTAGATAGACAGGGTATTAATGCTACTGTCCAAGGACAGTATGCGGAACAGAAGAAAGGGAAAAGAAAAAGTCTTTCTCTAGCTATGCTTGGTGGATGAGCTCATCCAGCAGGGCAGGCAACATTCAAACATTGCTCCTTCCTGTCACAGTCAAACTGACAGAGAACATTCTTGCCAAATTGATACCTCTTTGTTCCAATTTAGCTTCTAACCTTAAATAAAGTAATTCTTCGGAAACTACTTTTACAAAGTTCTTGACTTGATAATCTTGCTCCTTGCTAGTTAAAAGCTTTCTCATCTGCATTATCACTCATTCTTAGTTTCCCTTAAGCAGAACTCGTTTTTAATTTATTTTATTTCCTCACCACTTATGACAGTATGTTCCTCTGACCTAATTATTCTTTTCATCCTTTCCATTCTCTATAGACAATGGCACTGGCCATCTTTCTTTTCACCTGCCTTCCATACAGCAATGATTTTAAAATGTTCATATGCAGGCAAGCATAAGTAACTCATGCCTAGAATCTCAGCAAAAGGAATTCTCTTGGGTTTGAAGCCAATCTGGGTTATATAAGTTGCCAGACAGACAGAGTTACAAAGTCAGACCTACCTTTAAAAAAAAAATCTTTAAAGAAAATATATTAATGCTTATCACTATCACACATATCTTTGTGTTCTAAACCAACAATGCACAATTAAAATATAATGTAAGCCATATATGTAATTCTAAAAAATTAGTGGCTGCTGGGCATGATGATACATGGCTTTAAACCCAGCACTCTGGGAGGGAGAGGCAGGTGGATCTCTGTGAGTTCGAGGACAGCCTGGTCTACAAGATGAGACCAGGACAGCCAAGTCTATACAGAGAAATCCTGTCTTGTTTCATTCTAAGTGAAATCAATGCATATTTTATACTGACAACATAGCAAGTCACATTACCCATACTTCATTGTTCAATAAATACATGTTCCTAATGGATACAGGTTGGAAAGGTGAAACCCTGTGCCATATCTAAAATTGAATTCATATATAGTACATTCAAACACAATTCTTTACTTAAATGTATTAGTTACTTTTGACCAAATGATCTTCTACTACTAAGATGTATAAAGTTGATATGAACAAATCACAGGCTTGTAAATGGGTAAAATCTAATGGTAACTTAGTTTTCATCAAGACAAATGAAGACTAGAGAACGGAAATGACCTTAGAGGTCACAGAGCAAATGAGTGATGGTCCTGCATGACCTTAAAGGTCACAGAGTAAATGAATGACAGTCCTGTTATGCTAAATATTTCTTATAAATATACACCAAAATTACTTATGTGACTTTTAAAATTTAAAGTACAACTACCAATACTTTAAGAAGAAATAAGAATACAATTGCATTTTTAAATTTTACATTTAGAAAAACAAAGTAAAATTAAACAGTAAAAAGCCCAATAGCGATAGTTAGATAGATAGATAGATAGATAGATAGATAGATAGATAGATAGATAG